GTACTATATAATAGAATTACAGGATGTTGCATAATCCTTAAGTCGTAGAGACTACATATGGTTAGGCATCTGTTCTTCTTATCTATGCCGTCAAAGATATAACACATTTTCCGACAAGTGTAGCAAATTATCTGTACGAAGGCTCGCAGGCAACTGTATCCTCATTTAGTGTAGCATTACGAATATGGTTGGATGCATTTACACGCAACTTGTGCCACATTACAACCGCGAACTTCTTTGATTTGAAATTGTGTTTTATGTGAAGCCATGCTCTCGGTCACACTTTCGTTGTCAAATCCATATTAATCATCAAGAGTTACAGCTTATATTTTTGAAAACAATTGTTTGTTTTTTTAGTCTATTGATTTTTTTTTTTATTTCCACCAAGTGGTAAACCATATATTGACTGAGTTATACTAGTACGTCTTGTTATCAGTAGTCATCACATACGATGTGCATCATACTGATTGGTGATAAGTACTATTGCTACTGAAAATTAATTACTTCACACAGCGACAACTTAACCATGTTTCTTTGATTTTCACTTTAATTAGGACACCATTGACATACAGATGCCACCTAGTGCGAGTTCGTCTGATTCGGAGTGTGCAGGAAACACGTCTAGTAGTACGCTCAAGTTAGACTTTTTCACAGACTGGTTCGTTGAAATGAAATTCGTATTGGGTTCATCTGTTGACACTCTTGATGATGACAAATACTACATGAATTCGTTCACACTGCAGTACGTGCTTGACGATAATTTCAAGAACCCAGCAAAACCCGGTAAAGATCTAACAATACTAGAATGGAGAAGTGGCTGTGATAACGAAATACACAGTTCTCGGAACACCACTCAGTAATAAAAATCAAAAACTTCATTTGTTGAAGGCGTGGTTCTGAGTAAATTCCTCACATTCTCGTTTTTTTCATATAATTATTCAAAACGTAGATATATATTATACATGTAGTGTACATATTGGTTTCAGGTACAACTATGAGCGCTACAAGAACAAATAACGACTTCGGTACAACAATTGGAAAGTCCTATGAATGTGAAAGTAAAACTGATCTTACGATCAATGATGACGTAGAAATGGATATTAGTGACCTTCGCATCCAGCCTTTTGCAGAGAGGTCTGACGGGGAATATGGAGAGTGTAAGTGCTTTACATGAACCATTCA